CTCTTCTGGCCAGGATGCCGTTGAGAACTGGTGGCCGAATGGTTATGGCAAGCAACACTTGTACTATTTAACTACCACTGTGACAACGGCGAACAGTGTTCTATATAAACGGATTCGTATAGGCTTCAGAACAGTTGAGCTGGTGGAAGAACCTCTGGAGAAAGGATTGAGCTTTTATTTTCGCATAAACGGCGTACCGATATTCGCTAAAGGCAGCAACTTCATTCCAGCCAGTATCTTCCCTGAACTAGGCGCGAAAGAAGATACCATCAGACACTTGTTATCATCCGCCAAAGAGACGCATATGAATATGCTGAGAGTGTGGGGTGGTGGTATTTACGAGTCAAAATTATTTTACGACTTGGCCGACGAATATGGGATCATGATTTGGCAAGATTTTATGTTCGCGTGCGCTATGTATCCCACGAGCGATGCATTCTTGAAGAGCGTAAAAGAAGAAGTATCGCAAAACGTGATACGTTTGAAAAATCATCCGAGCATTGTTCTTTGGGCTGGTAATAACGAAAACGAAGCAGCTCTTCATGGTAATTGGTATGGCACTGGTTCTGCTCAGGTATATAGAGAGGATTATGTGAAACTTTACGTGAATCTATTGAAGATGGAAATGGAGAAACTAGATCCTGTAAGACCATTCGTCGTATCTAGTCCGGGCAACGGGATGTATGAAAAAACTTATAATTATACTGGAGTGAATCCTTATTCGAATCTCTATGGCGACGGTAATATATGTATATAGTAATTATATAAGTGACAAACATTTAGCGTTATTATATTCAATCAAATATTTTAAACTTTATATATATATATATATTTTTTTTTTCCAGTTCACTATTATAACTACATCAGAAATGGATGGGATATTACTCAGTATCCTCGAACAAGATTTTGCTCCGAGTATGGATTTCAATCTTGGCCATCGATTTACACGATAGTAACTGCTATAGAAAGCACGAAAGATCTTCATATCAACAGCGACTTCGTGAAACACAGACAACATCTGCCACTTGGCAATCAATATATGTTGCTGTTGATCTTGCAGAACTTTGCTGTACCGCAAAGTAACGATAGCATTCGAGACTTCGCGAATTATATATACCTTAGCCAGATCAATCAAGCTGTCTCTATAAGGATAGAAACAGAAGCATACAGGCAAGCCAAGTCCGAGGTGAATTCCATAGGTGAGGGTATGACAATGGGAGCTCTCTATTGGCAGTTGAACGATGTCTGGCAAGCTCCTTCGTGGTCTTCCATAGGTAATCAAAGACATTAATATCTTAAATTAGAACTAGAATTTTAAAAACCTTGATCGTTCCAATCTATATTTCTTTATGAGTTTCTTCAAAACTCTTCAAATGATAAACGTATGAGACATATGGAGAATTTGAATTTTTCTTTTATAACACTTTCTTGCTCTTACTCAAATATGCAGCTACTTATTGATTGTTCTAGTTACAAGATATAACTATTTTATTGTTTACATGTTACGAAAATCTGCGTTATATTTACAGATATCGAAGGTCGTTGGAAAATGCTCCATTATTATGCCCAAGATTTCTTCGCGCCTATTATCGTTACACCACATTTGTCCATCTCTGATGAACTCTCGATATATATAGTATCTGATCGATTGTACACCTTAACAAATTGTACAGTAAAACTTCATGTTTATAAATGGGAATCCATGAAACCTATATTTACATTATTCTTCAATGATATTGTAATAGTAAGTATAGTAGACTACATAATTCATATAGAAATATAAGTATATTGGGCTATTTTTCAGGAATCTAATAAAGCCATGAAAGTTACGTCTTTTTGGTTAGATGCATTCTTGTTTCAAGCGGGTTGTGGATCATTGGAATCTGCCAAAAGATCTTGCATAGCCACTTTATCTCTCACGAATAAATCTGGATCCTTAATCGCGCCAATTAATTACATATATCCTGATGCGTTAAAGAATGCAGATGTACCAGTAGCCAATGTCACTGTAAGGATTGATTAATTTAACATGGATTAATTAATGTCACATATAAAGCCAGACATATTGCAGACATTATAAATACTATCAGAGATGCTGACACGCAATATTTCTCGTTTTAGATGAAGGTCGAAGAAAATTATTTACCTGGAAAGTTTTCCAATTATGCAGATTTCAAAATTATACTATCGACAGATAATATAGCACTATTCGTATGGTTAGAAGTGGGCAATATACGTGGTCGTTTTTCGCAAAATGGTTTTCATATGTTTGTAAAGAAAACGGAAATTATTTTCCATGCGTATGAAGCAACCACAATTGAATTATTGCAGAACAATATAAAACTTACACATATATCAGATATTTACACTGCACATGGCAATTTTGATGGTGACGACTACTTTGCTAAAAGGACAAATTTAGATTAATTATGCTAAAATTTCCTAATATAATTGTATATGAGGCATCGATTGAGAATTACTAAAACAATTGTACGTACAGTGTTTGTGTGTAATTACTATACATATCAACTTTTGTTGATAATTTTTTTATTCGAATATATTTCGCATTTTCAAACTGTTCTTGACAGAAAGTAAGTGTCATAGTGCAAGTAAATTTCAAATCCAATAAGAATAATAAGCACAATTACGGCTCCACCGACTATAGTGGACATCAAGCCGGACATTGTATTTTCTTTCAACAAACTATAATTTAAGACATAACACATGCACCAATGTTAAGAAAATTTATTATCATATTTTTGGTTACACATCTGACATGAAAAATCTGAACATAAATGTTAAGTCTTGAAGTTAGTATCACAATATATATAATTTTTATATATTTGTTTACACTTAATATTAATCGATGCATGAAAATAAAACATTCTCAAATTGTAGTAAATTAAAATAGTGTTGTGTATATAAATTACATTAAACCTTCGTATACATGTAACAAAATATTCGCGGATCCATTAAAAATTTTTTTACGTAAAGATAACAAAAAACTAAAAATCTATTATCGTTTAAAGCTAAATTCATGAAAATGAATTATATTACGAACGGATATTTAAAAAGAATAAATAAGAAAAAATTTATTTAAATTATCCATATATGTAATATAAATATCTGTAAATCTAATAAGCGTAAGCTGAGACTCCTAGATTAGTTCTCTTATCACATAAAAATATAGCAAACACAACTTTCGCATTTGTGTTTGCACTGTACGTTTCCCTCATACAGCACACACTTTCATAAAATATTAAATTCTTATGTCTGTTTCCACCAATGTAGATTAACTTTAATCAGAATTAGAAAAAAATGAGTAAAAGTTAAACCAAGATTAAAGTCAATCTACATTGGTGGAAACCATTAATCTTTAGTAAAAGCTGGAGCCCATAGCTCGTAATATTGTTAAGTAGAGATATTCATTTCTGTTAAAGCCGTAATGCTATTTTGGCTCATATTGCGACGTTCTTTCATGGTTAGAATACGATGGAAGTACGACCTCCTCCTCCTCAGGCGAATGTAGATAACGTCGGCTTAAATTGATGACAACCATGATACAACACAAGAGTAAAGGACCAAAAATTGCCCCTTCCACACCTAAACAAAAGATTCCGCCTGCTATAGATAGGCCCGTTAGATAAGGATGCCCACCACTGAAACAAACAAGATACATGCAAAAATAATGCGTGATTGAAGACTACATTAGTATACAATGAAACACAATTTTACCCTTTAATCTCCTTATAAAATTCCGTCACTACTATATTACATGGGAGGAAATGGAAGAGAAAAAAAGTGATAGCAGTCATCGATCCACGGGTGAACCAGAGTTCTATGGTAGCCGGGATGCAGGCAAAGTATGCGTCTAAGAAAGGAACTGCTCCCAACATAGTCGCGAGAGCCGATGGTAGATAGACAATTTTCACTTGGAATAAATTATGTATGAACCACGTCCACATGCCGAAGAAGGAGGCAAGTTTAAAGGTGGCCGCAAATACTCCAATTACTGCTTCTTGTAACGCTACAGCAAATCTGAACAAAATCGATGTTGCTTTAAATGTTTTCGTTGCGCGATATCATGTATTTCACATCACATGTAATAACGTCCAAGTAAATATTAACTCAGCGCACATATCGATATGAAAATAAACTTCTTACCCTTCTACATGCAGCGAGCTAATTAAAAATAAATATTTTTATAAAATGTAAAACATTACATACAAGAGAGCGCAAGTCAAATTTTATATATCAAATAATTACCTGTGACAACTAATAGGACTAAACATCGTTGTCAATTCGATGGGTTTATAAGTTTTACCGCTGGAACTGAGCAAGTAAAATAAAGTTGTAAAAAACACAACCTGAAATAGCGAATTATTACATCTCATGCTTTGTTTTTTATAAAACTTTCCAGGAACATAATGCATACCGTGCTGAGTACAAAATTAAGTACTGCTGATCCACTCATGAGTACGATATAGAACAGTTCTGTGAAAACTGTTAGTATCACAGACATATTGCCTTTGACAATGCTCCAAACAGAATCAAGCACCGACATCAAAACGCCAATATTTTCTTTGGCAAAATTCTGTATACTAGTCATATTGAACAAATCTGAAAGAAAAAACGATAGCGTTCTATTTTATCATATATAAAACAATTTTTACTATTAGTAGTACAAACAACATAATTCTACGTGAAAAAAAAACAAGTCAAAAAACATAATCTAACAAATAATGCTTAATTTCATAAATTTTCAGTCAAAGTATTTACGTAGGGGTGTTTTCCCAAAACTATCTTTGAAGCTCTCCCAAGCGGAGTATGCAGACATGGCATCTACAGTAGGACCCACGAGATGGGGATCTGTATTTGACATCATCCATGCTTGATAGAGACGATCCCAGAGTTCCAAAACTTTCTTCTCCATCTGCTCCGCTTTCGCTGGTTCGAGATCTTTCACGAGACCTCGAATCTGAATCAAGCAAGCTGGATAAGCAAACTTTGCGTATTTTGCATGTGCAAAATAGGAAAGTAAACAAAGTAAATCTTACTCCATCCGATATAGCGCTTCGTCCATATGTATAAGCATTATCTAAAACACTATTAACAGACTCTTCCCACTTTTCTGGAACCCAATCGATATCAGGATTGTTCATCAAAGTGGAATTCAATATTTCACCCGTTACTTGAACAAGATGCAAACCTTCCGCATAGATCTAACAGATAAACTAATGAAATAGAATCTTTATATCGATATATAGCATATAGTACTGTCGATTGTTGATAGAGTACAACTGTACGATACGGTGTATAAATGAACGAATACACTAGTGTTTGTTGCATACCTGTATCGTGATAAAAATAGATGCGCAAGTAGTGAAAACGATCAAGCCAAGTATCACGGACGTAGTCGCTACCGCATTGACGGAGCCTTTCAGAATATTTCTCAGTTTCCCGTCCACGATAATGCTTACTTTATAGAGACCTCTGATATTGGAAGGTATAAGCGCTTGATGCCGTTCCATGCACCATGACTTGAGCGTTTGTATCACCGAGTCGCAATACTTGAGTATCATTTCCCAAAAGCCGAAATAGCTACCAAACTGTTTGACAATATAATATACCAACGGGATCACCAGAATGTGCGCGATCCACTTGTGTTTCCAGAGAAGCATGCCAGCACACGCGTATAGCGCTCCGTACATGTACTTGTCGGTATCAACCTTATTGTCCTGCATGTCCAGAGACGTTCGTAATTCGGCTCTTATTTTGCCGAGCAGATAACGGTCGCGTAATGTCGCACGAGTTGCAGAATGCATGTTATACACAGATTTATATGTGGCCACGCCCGCTGCGGAGGACAGATCGGCATCTGTATTCAAGGATATTGATTTTACGCCAAGCTTCGGTGCACGTATCCTCCCGATATCCATTGCATCGGCGGACGCCGATCTTCCTGCTTCTTCTCGAGAACGGACTGGCGTATCCACGCTTTTACCTTCCGGAACACAGTCGTTTGTCTGCTCGTCATCCTCTGATGAAGCTGATTTATGATCTTCTTGCGGGCTCGAAAATAAGTCATTTGTTAAGGCAAAACGCGCCGCCTGCGAGAACGTTAAGTGCCTACCATTCAGCTCATGGCCATCCATAATGAGCATTACTTCGTAAATAAATCCTATTGCGCACAAGGTTTGCAAAGCGATGAAAACCAAGACCCGATAAGCACCCGCTATGCTCGATAGATACATGCTGATGATGAACCATATTACAAAGGACATATAGCGAAAAGATGCTGAATTCGACGGTGTCCAATAGATATACAAAACCGTGAGGTAACCGACGAGTATGGTAGAGACCTACAAGAATAAAATCTGATTAGACAGGAGACGGAGAAGCAAGCATTATGGTATTTCTGTAGCATATCAAATAATATATGCATACAAGATGTCATAAAACAGGCTTAAAGTGACTAAAATGACCAATGGTTTAGGAAAGATGTAATATATTATACTTTTTTATATATTTTGCGTAATTTTTTTTTAATAATTAGTATCTCGATAACTATTGCGAAGATCGCAAAATAGTAAGGGACTTTTCGATTCAGTTAGCCCACTCTACATAGCACTTTACCATTGAATACCAGACATCCTATATATAATAATGAGAAAACTATTGGACGCTAAATAAATTACCGTAAAGACGTTGCATGTCAGAATGAAGAATCCAGAAACGATGGTGAAGATTTGAAACATTCTCCAGGCAAGGCACGTTATCATGTTAGGAGTGTAATGATAAACGCCTACAGCCAGTAACGTCAGCGATACCACCCAGACGATATACTTGATGCGCGTCCACAGAAAGGAGCCGACTCGCTCGGAGACATTATCGAATATATGTACCGGCAACAGGCTGGCGTTGACAATCAACAGAGTGCGCGACGCTTCTACTTTGGCAAACCAAGATTGCACCGCTGTAACTAATGAACACTTGAACGGGAAAAGAACGGCACCGCACAGTAGGGCCCAGATTAGAGGTTTGATGAACGGACTCAGGATAATGTAAAGGCCGTAGCCGGCTGCTGAGACGAGACACAGGAAGAAAAGTGCGACAGCGTTGTAGATTCCCTGTTTTAAGGCTTTCTCCTGGCCCGCGCTGAAGCCCGACAGCATGTTGAAGAGGTTATCCATCGGCGAGCGAACGTTTTCCATCGTTATATCAATATTAATTTAGTATATAATAATGACAATACTAACTCTTGTGCACTTTTCTTTAAGGCTTGAACATGCCTCAAGCCATTCTCAAAGTGGCCTCATAAATACGAGCGACAAGAAGACACGTCTTTCGGAGAAAAGAAAAGGAAAGCACACTGACGAGTGCGGAGTGACGACCACTAACCATTCAGAACTACCGCCAACTATCGCATTACACATACACTATTACATTCGCATACCTATGCCATGATGTAATAATGTAGTTTAGGTATTCCAACTATAAAATTATATCGAATACCCGCAAATAATTGAATTTCTTTTCTATCCACTCAATCAGCACACAATCAGAGATAACCTCATCTATCCTAACTCAATTTATAGCTTCCTAAAAGTAGTTAAAATTATGAAAGAAGAGTTCCACAAATTTCATGGCCACTTTTTAAATAAAGAATTCATTTTTGATAAATTTATAGACATTATAATTATGTAAAATAAATTAATAATTGATAAAATAAATTTAAGCCACAGATTTGCAGTGTATTAATTATAAGCGAACTTTATTATATGCGCAAAGGTTTTACAAGTTCTCAATATCAAGATTGTTACAAGAGCAAAACAGCATACAATAAACAACATATGTAACCCAGGAGAAAAATAGTAGAATGTAAAAGACAAAAGATCCTGCAACTAACTTATTTTTTATAAAAATACAATAACATGCAAAATTATTCTCTACATTAATTAACACTATCCCTTATAATTTTGCAGTTATTTATTTATTTATTTTTTTAATCTTTTAATTTTATAAACTCTAAACTATTCAAAACATAAATTAATTTTAAAATTTTAATTATATTATTATATTTTTTATAACAGTTAAAGTTTCAGTTTACTAAATTAAGTTTATGTTTTTGAAATTTTATCCGTGCTAAAGGCTTAGTAAAAATATTTGCAATTTGATTATCTGTCGAACAATAATGAATAGTCGCGATTTTATCTTTCACAATATCATGTATAAAACGATATTTTATATCAATAATGTTTTGACCTATCATTAATTACTCCATTTTTAATCATTTTAATCGTGCTTTGATTATCCATATGAATTTTAAGCTTTACCGTCTTATTTATCAATTCTTCAAATAAAGATTTTATATTGTAAATTAATTCTTTGCAACAATGTGCTGCTGCAACATATTCCGCTTCAGTACTTGAAAGAGTTACTATCCGCTTGTTTTCTGGAACACCACGCAATAGCTAGGTCCTCCACCGTAGAATATTACATAATGGTTTCAGGATCTCCAGCAAAGTCCGAATCTGTATAAGCTTCTATTAAATCTTCGTCAGCATCTGTCTTATATTTTATTCCTTGATTGCAGTTCCGTTGAGATATCTAAAAATCCGTTTTATGTTCATTATCTTCTCTTCAGTAGGATTTTCCACATAACGACTGACATATCCCACTCCATACGCCAAATCTGGTCTGGTTTTACTAAAATATAAAATACTTCCAACTGCCTCACGATAAGGATAATTTGTGCTTTTCAGCAAATTTATTTCATTATTATTAGATTTCTGCATTAATTGGTGTCGCAGTTAGTTTTGAATTTTTCATTTGATACCTTTTTAGAACATTTAATCCATAATTCGTCTGAGTTAGTTTTAATCCATCCTCTTTTCTATCTATTTCCATACCAATGAATAACTTAGGATCCTTTACTATTGTCACTTGAAATTCTTTTTTATGTTCTTTTAATAATTTTTCCATTTCTTGTAAACTTTCTCCAACTAAAATTCCATCATCTACATAAATGCCTAAGATTAAATTGTACTACTTTCTTTTACAAACAAACATTGTTTTGTTTTTAATTGTTTAAATCCATTGTTTTTTAAGAAATTAGAAAAACGCGATGATTCCAAGATAATGAAGCTTGTTTCAGACTAATATAAAGCTTTATTAAGTTTGCATATTTTATTTGAATGATTATATCCTTCCAGGTATTTGCATGTAAATATTCTCGTTTAAGTTTCCATAAAGAAAAGCAGTCTTTATATCAAAAGTAATCATTTTATAATTTCTTATTGTTGTTAAAGCAAATAATATTCTTAAAGCTGTTGTACTTACAACTACTATACGTTTCTTTAAAATCTACTATATCTTTGTTCAAAACCTCTTATTACTAATCGTGCCTTGTATCTGCCATTCTGTTTTATCTTAAATAACCATTTACTTAAGTTAATGGCTTGACATTTCGCGCTTCCGCTGGATCTACTAATTTTCTTGTATTATTGACTTCAAAGTGACTTCTTCTCCTCTCCTATAGCTTTCTTCCATTTATCACATTCAGGCCCTGAAACAGCTTGTGAATATGTTAGAAAAACATAATCATTATATTTATCTGGAAGTTTTCTATTTCTCTGAGATCTTCTTTGTTCTTGTTTATCCTTTTCTTTTGGATCCTGTTTGTTTTCCTCTACTATATCTCTTCCTTCTTGTCTTTCTGCTTTACTATCCTGATTTCTTGTTTCTTGATCTTTTCTTTCTTGATTTCTTGTTTCTTGATCTTCATAACCTGCATCTTTATAAACTGAATCACTTGAATCATCTGAATGATTTTCTATTTCATTTTGATACTGTTCTTAATCGTTTTCTCTTATTTCTATTTCCTCTTCATTTTCTTCATCATCCATTTCTGTTTTACTTACAAGGGACATGTCACAACTGTCCGGCACCGATTTAATTCTCCTTGAAATATGTTTTCAAACACAAAAATCTAAGAGACACGTATTTTTTTATATGTGCGGAATCTCAAGTTTAGGGGGTGAAACACCTTTTTGAAAAAAAATTGTTTTTTTTTCGTGGCGAATATCATCGAAAATAGATCGGAAGAGCACACGTC